TCAGTCCGCTAGGATACTAGGGGGGAAGGGGGGGCCAGCTCGGCGCGGTTGGGACAATGGCAAAACTCTGCCCGCCCGCTCACGCGGAAGTAAGACACGAAACCCATGCCATCTTCAAGCTCTCATGAAACGTGACGAACTGTAGTAACGGCGTAGTAAGACGAGTACGAGTAATCGCAGTAGTCGTAGTAGTCGTAGTCGTCGTAGTCGTCGTAGTAGTTGTCGTAGTAGTAGTAGTAGTAGTAGTAGTAGTAGGTGTAGTAGTGATACGAGTAGTAGTACTACGTATATATATATATACAAATATATATATATATATGTATACATATATACATATATGCATACATACATATATATATATATATATACATACATACATACTGGAACCATCGCGCGCGCTTCGCGTGCGCTCAAGTTCAAGCAAAGCTTGATACGCTAACTCATGTAATATCATGTTGGTCGCTTCTTGCGCCCAGGGACTCCCTTGGACGCACTGCGCAAGCCTCGGGGCCGTACAGAATGGGAAGTGCGGAAACGCAGAAATCATTCATTTCCTTTAGGTATTCAACGATTTGGGGCCCTCAACACCTTCCGGGGTTCTTTTTGGGGAGATGAAAGGGTCTGAATTGTGGTCAGTTGTGCAAGAGATTGTGGGATTTCCATTTTTTTCCAGTTCCTCGGCGCTGCTCGGCGCCTCGCGGGTTTTGTTTGCCAGGCCCCTCAGAGGTGTAGGATCTTCTGGACCCCCTGGGGGTTCTGGGGGCCTCCTGGAGGCCTGGAGAGTCGGAAGGGTGTCTTGGGCTGCGCGGGAGCGTGTTGGGCCATTCTTTACGTTCTGGGGGCTCCATGGGGTCGTCTTGGGCTGTCCTTGGGAATATGAGGGACCCCTCGGGAAGCCCAGAGGCGCGGTACCGGCTAGATGTCAGGGGATGCGTAGGACCCCCCAATAGGAGTCCCACTTTGAACAAAAAAGGGACTTCTGGAAAATCCTTTCATTTTTTCCCCAAAAATCCTCGATCTTCGAGGGTTGGAAGCGGGAAAACGTGAGAAGGCGAAAAACATTATAACAAAACCATTGGAAATCAACGAGTGCACCCGCTTTGGGCTCTCTCGGGACGGCTCTCGCAGCTCTCTTGAGCTGTTCTTGGAGCCTCGTCGGGGTCCTTTGGGGCCTCTCAGGGATCGGGGGTGTGTTGGGGGCCTCTGGGTGGTCCTGGAAGCCTCTCGGAGGTCTCTGGGAGCCTCCTGCTCCCGCTCTTGGGCCCATCTTGGACCTGTTCTGGGGTGGTCTGGGGCTGTCCTGGGCGCCTCTTCGGCAGTCTTGGAGCCTTCTTGGCCCGTCTAGGGGTCGTCCTGAGGGTCTCCTGGGTGGTCTTGGGACAGTCTTGGGAGCCTCTTCGGCGCTCCTGGACAGTTGGAAGCTCGAAAACGCGAGAAGCCAAAAACATTGAAAAAACTAGTAAGCATCGACGATGTTGGCCTCTTCGGGCCATCCCAGGGCGCCTCTCGGACCTCTCTTGGGGTCTCTTGGAGGCCACCTGGGAGCTCGAGAGCCGTCGGAAGGCTGACTTGGGCTGCTTGGGAGCGCCTTTGGCATTCTGGGGGCTCCTGGGAAGCGTATTGGGCCCTCCTGGAGCGCTGTGGAGGCTCCCCGAAAAGGCCGGGGGAGCGGTACCGGGAGCGTTCCCGAGATGTGGCGGGGAGGTGTGGGACCCGGCGCCAGGAGGGGCGGCATCTATTTATTTATCCATTGATTATATAAGCTTGTAGTAGTAGTAGTAGTCCTCGTCGTCGTCGTCGTCGTCGTCGTCGTCGTCGTCGTCGTCGGCGTCGTCGTCGTCGTCGTCGTCGTCGTAGTAGTGGTGGTGGTGGTGGTAGTAGTAGGACTAGTCCTCGTTGTAATACTGCTAGTAGTCGTAGTAGTAGTAGTAGTAGTAGTAGTAGTAGTAGTAGTAGTAGTAGTAGTAGTAGTAGTAGTAGTAGTAGTAGTAGTAGTAGTAGTAATAGTAGTAGTAGTAGTAGTAGTAGGAGGAGTAGGAGTAGTAGTAGTGGTAGTAGTAGTAGTAGTAGTAGTAGTAATAGTAGTAGTAGTAGTAGTAGTAGTAGCAGTGGTGAGAATAGTAGTAGTAACAGTAGTAGTAGTAGTAGTAGTAGTAGTAGTAGTAGTAGTAGTAGTAACAGTAGTAGTCGTTGTAAATAGGTTAATTGTAGTAGTCGTAGTAGCAATAGTAGCAGAAGTACTAGTACCAGTAGCTGCGCTCCCAGTATTATAGTAGTACAGCTAATAATACTAGTCGTAGAAATACTACTAGTAGTCGTCGTAATAGTTGTAGTAGTAGTCATAGCAGCAGTCGTGGTGGTAGTAATAATCGTAGTGGTAGTAGTACTCGTAATACTCGTAGTAGTCGTAGTCGTACTAATCGTGGTAGTAGTACTAGTTATACTCGTGGTAGTAGCAGTAATAAAAGTAGTAGTAGTAGTAGTAGTCGTAGTAGCAGTA